GTTTATAAGTTTTAGACACAGTTTGTCTTGAAGGCTGACTTCAGATCTCCAAGAAAAACTGGGAAAGCTACTGAATGCTAATTGCTTGCCTTTTGGGGTGAAATCCTCAGGTATAGCCATCAGAGAGCTGCTAGGGTCAATAGTAAACACAATTAGTAAGCCTTCTATCCATTGCTGCCTTTTTAAACATGAGTTTATGCTCACGTTGACAGAAGCAACATTTAAGCATCAAGATCTGTCAAGTTCTAAACAACACAGCTCATCTCATTCATAAATTAGTAGCTGTTTCATATTTTCACACAACAAAAGGAAAGTAGCTTCCAACTGTGAAGCCTGGTTTCAACAGCTGTCAGTAGCTATAGATGATGAATAAGTCATTACCAGAATATCTTGCTTCGGTGCAGTTCTTTAAAAATAGAGCTACTGAATTGCTTGCTTAAAGGGAAAGGCCAGAGTTCAAAACAAACTTGAAACGACTACAGTGGCTTCATTTCCCAAGACTTACATCTACACAGATAAAGCCAGACCTCAGGGTCTCCTCATTCCAAGGATCTAAATAAATTAGATGGAAGTTCTTACTAACAGGCTTACCTGACTAATCTCCCAGCCAGTGTAAGGTCCTTCCCATTCACATGTATTGCCTGCAATTACGGTTGCTCATTTATAGAAGGCATTCCTCTGCCCGTTACTAGGGACAGACCAGGATATCCATGCTGAGCACACCAGAATTCAGAGTTAAAAGGAGACCATCACCTCATGTCTACAAACATCAGTCATCCCAAATTTGGGCTACAGGACTTACTTCCTTCAGCAGCAGAATATGAAATTCCTTGCCCCTGTTCGTCAGATAGACCAGGTCTTACTGATACAAGGCTAGAGTTGCAAGGGAACCCAAACCGTGCTTTTAACAGTTTTCAGAATTGTCTTTAATTGGATAATTTTGCCTGTTGTCAAGTCTCTAAAGGGACCACCATTAGAGAACCTCACATTCAGAACATCAGCATCCCTGCTCCTACCAGCTTTTTCAGTTAATATGCTTGAGAAGGTTATTGAGCACTTTTAACAAGGAAAGCTACTTGTTATCTTTAAATTTGTCAAAATTAATTAGTTGGCATACTGAAGACTGCAAATCAGCTTCAGGGCAGAGAACACTGGAAAAGCTTTTGTTGCAAATTAGCCACTATAAATCAGCAAATTGAGTAGGCAAAAACAGTTGTAAGAGACATTCACCATCTCAAATGACTTGTTCTATTCAGGACTTGTTTGTTCTGCATTAGATTAACTTAATTAGGCTGGTCTCACTACTGAAGCCTGTCAATTACTTCTAGTCAGTGTAAATAAACTACCCTGCTTCTTGTACACTTTTGAGACTTGAAAGTGTTTTTTAACTAAAACAAAACAAAACCCCACAACCCACAAAAAAACCCCCCCTAAATATTAGTGGCATAAATTGACAAATTTTAAGCAATGGTAGAGACCTGTCCTTTGAAGCTTTATCTTGACCCAAGAACCAATTACTGTCTGAGGAGGCACAAGCTAAAAAGCCTGAATAAATTTTATGTTCATGTAAGGTGTTCTGTGAGGTTTTGATAATCACACCTGCATATGTAAGGCTGCTGATGGAACAGTTCGCACTGTTACTCTTTGTAATCAGATATAGTCAGTGATGATTTATTCTGCCTCCCTCTAATACAAAAGCATACAGCTCCAACAGTAGTGCAAGTACCTTGTTTACACAGGGGTAAATGCTACTGAAGCATCAGTTCCTAAAGGAGCAGTGCATTCAGAAAAGAATACTTGGGTGCAGCATGCTGCAGTCTTGTAACACAGCCAGCTTCACTTCCAGCTGTTTATTGCCATAAACAGCTTGGGCTTACTAAAAAAACCCAAACAAACCAAGCAACACCCACCTGGCATCAACACCACATCAACACAGTGATACTGAATCAACTTAGAAATACATGACTAAGTAGTTCAAACAAAGGATTGCTTCACAGTCCCACACCAGTCACGTATCTTGCCTCTACATTATCTCTTAACATACCAGAACAGGTTGCTCCCTAAACTCTTTCTAAAACCAAGTACAGTTAGGAAGTGAAACTATTTTCAGCAAAATAAGTCAGTAATGTTATAGTACCTGGCATTCCAGTCAGAATTCTTTGGCAAGATTAGGAGTGAGGAAGAACTTTTGCTTTTGAGCTCCTATTCCCCATTTGTACATCTAATATTTAGCTAATAGTAATGAAACAGATAACGCAAGTTTAATTACCTTTGCTGTAGCTACAAGAAGGAACTAATTTCACAAGACACATGGGGGAAATGGATCTGTGCAGTACAATGGTTTCAGTACATCACATTTTCTTACCTGCAACCACCACAGAAAGCACCAGCTCCCGCAGAA